CAAATTAAAAAAAAAACTAAGTCAAATTAACATTTTTAAGTAAATACTCGAGATCATGAATAGCCTCTAATAAACCAGCTGTTAAGCCAACAGCTTAACACCCATGTCTGGGTAGGGCCCTGAACCAGCTGCTGGAAAAAGATACAGAACGAATGGTGCCTCTTCTGCTGCCACACCCTAAGTAGGAGAGCCAGGGAAAGAGGGTGAAGGAAGGTTACCAACTTAGCAATTAATATAGAGAGATGCATTATGAAAAAGTGCAAAGGACAAAGAGCACTGAAGGAACACAGTGTGAACATTCATTCAATAAATATTTATGGAGACCTATTTAGTGCTAGGCACTATTCTTTTTTACATGCTAACTTAACTTATACTTAAATATTTTACTAGTACATGTGCGTAGTACACGATGTTTACTTACACTCTTTGTGGGGAGCTGGTGTGTGTGCACCGCCCACCTTTATTATTTTTCTTTCATCTCCTTCTTTCCATCTTCTTCCCTCACCCTCCCATCTCTTGCTTCCTCCCATTTGAGAAAGATCTACCTTCTACTATCTTTTGTTTTGCTTTTTATTTATATTTAGGGTTTCTCATATAAGAGAAACCATGTCGAATTTCAGCTTGTGTGTCTGGTTTATTTCACTTAATGTTATGGTCTCCAGATGCACCCATTTTCCTACAGATGACTCAAGTCTGTCCTTCTGTACAGCAAAGTAGCAGTCCATTGTTCATAAGTACCACATTTTGTGTATGCATTGATCTATTGACAGACACAGAGGCTGATCCCAAGATTTAGTTATAAATTGTGCTACTATAAACATGGGTATGCACGGATCATTGTAATATATCTTTAAATCTTTCAGGAAGATACCTGGATCTGGGTGTGGTGGTGCACATCTGTAATCCCAGCACTCAGGAAGCTGAGACAGGATCACTGTGAGTTCCAGGTCAGCCTGGACTACATAAGTGAGTCCCTGTCTCAAAAAACAAACAAATACAAAAAACAAACAATACAACAACAACAAAAAAACCTAGGAAGATACCTGGAAGGGGAATAGCTGGGTCAAACAGAATTTCTAGTTTTAAGTTTTTTGAGGAATCTCCATACTGATTTCCATGATGGTTGTACTAGTTTATATTCTACCAGCAATGTAGAAGGGTCGCTTTCCTGCAGCCTTTCCAGCATTTGTTATGATTTAATTTCTTGAATAGCCATTCTTTCTTGGGTAAGAGGGAATCTCGGTGTGGCTTTATTTTTCTCTAATGGCCAGCGATGTCGAACAGTTTCTCATATATTTATGTCTGTTTCTTCATGTATCCACTTCTTCTTCTGAGAAGTGTCTATTCATTTCACTTGCCCATTTTATATGATATTTCATTTTGAACTGTCTAATTTTTTGAGTTCCTTATATATTCTAAATATTACTTCTCTGTCTGAGGAGTAGCTGGCAATTTTTTTTTCCCATTCTGCAGGTTGTCTTTTCATGCTGTTAGTTAGTTTTTATTTCTGTTCTTTGCAGAAGCTTTTTCATTTGTATGATTACATTTGTTGATTCTTGGTACTATTTCCTGTGTAATCAAGGTGTTGTGCAGAAAGTCTTTGCTTATGCCTACGATTTCAAGAGTTTTACCTATTTCATCTTCTAGCAGGTTAAGTGCTTTAATATTTAGTTCTTTGATCCGTTTTGATTTTAGTTTAGTACATGGTGAAAGATATTGGTCTAGACTCAATCTTCTGCATGTGAATAGCCAGTTTTCACAGTGTCATTTATTAAAGATGTTATCTTTCCTCCTACAGTGTATGTTTTTTATCCTTTTGTCAAAGATCAAATAGTTCAATGTGCTTGGGATTGTTTTTCTGCATCCCGTATACTGTTCTGGCCACCACAAACCCCGCCAACAGACAAATTGTCTTCCTGTCTGTTTTTGTGATTTCACCTTTTTCATTTTTAATTGCAGTGATTTGGTCTCTTCTTTCATTTTTTTTTTTTTGTAAGATTGGCTAAGGGTCTGCCAATTTTGCTTATTTTTTTGAAGAACCAACTTGTCAATTAATTTACTCTTTATATTGTGTCGTTGTTTTCAATTTCATTGATTTCTGCTCTGATCTTTATAACTCCTTTCTTGTACTAGCTTTGGGTTTGAATTGTTCTTATTTTTTTTAGGACCATGAGGTAGGCACTGTTCCTAGCAGAGATACAGGGATATCCAAAACAGGCAAGCAGAAATTAAGAACTGGATGTCAAGTAAAAGGACACATACTAAGGATCTAAATATGCTTTTAGGCATCAACAGGGGGTCTGGAGGATATGTTTGAAGATACCTACTAGTAGATAGAAAATAAAAGATGGATAGTAAGAGGGATAATTGCACAAAAATTGGAGGACTAGTTAAGAAGATCCAAGCTGGGCGTGGTGATGGAGGCTATAATCTAAGTACTCAGGAAGCTGAGGCAGAACTGCCACGAGTTTGAGGCCAGCCTGAGCTACATAGCAAGACCCTCTCTCACAAAAACGAAACAAAACAAAAATCCAGTATATATCTAAAAGAATTAAGAGAAGGCAGAGTTAGGGAAAAATCATCAATGAAATAATCCAAGAAAAATTCTAGATTGAAAACAGATTGTGTTAAGTACATTACTTTAGAATTTAAGCACATTAGTTTAGAATTTTAGTAAGTTTCGGACTAAGGAAATACCCTTTAAATTATATGCTAACTCTAAGTGTGCCACAGTTACTTTGGTAGAGTAGAAAATGTGTGCTGAGTTTCTAGAGAACCTTGGCTTTTATTACAATGGATAGGTCATTTTCCAAAATTAGAAAGTGCATCAGTTCCTCAGAGGATGGAAAGATTTTCCTGACAAATTCAGAAAAAGGTATCTGATAACATCCCCCACAACAGGTTTAGAGAAAATGCAGAAGTGGATTAGTTTTTATCTCTATTTCTTTTATTGATTTCTGAAAAAACTGAAAATACAATGAATATTCAAGTTTAATTCAATGAGTTCTGCCAGGATCCAGCCATGATATTTTACAGCATCTTGGCTAACTCTAACCCTAAAGGCTCTTTTGTGTTTATGTCATCAGTGAACCCTTCAACTTCCTTTTAAAAATTAAAAAATAATTTTTTGTGACAGACTATCACTACACAGTTCAGGGTGGTCTTGAACTCACTGTGTAGCCTGGGCTGGCCTCAAGCTCATGTTGTTCCTCCTGCATCGTCCTTCTGGGTGCTGAGATTACACGTGTGTGCTACTGTCATAAATTTAGATTACACACAAAAAATTTTTTTCAGTTTTGACATCCTTATGCTTTTTGATTGCCTATCTACTGCAAACGACAAAGTTTCACCTCCCGTCTCATATAAACCATAACATATTAACTAAAGTTGCAAGTATTTGCCAATAAAGAGTAAATTTAGGTACTTGCTTTATTGTTATAAAACACATCATTATCAGAGCTTATATACCTGTAATACTAAATGGTTAATTACTAGCTATACTTAATGTTGAGGATCATTACTTTAGAACACATTTAAAAGAAAGGGAAATAACTTGACTCTTGATTTTAACAGAACTGTAGTTTCACCAGGCTCTTTGTTATCTATTCTTTTTTGTCATTGTGACCAAACTGTTCCTCAATGAGATCTGGGCAAGAAAGTGAATAAAACCAATCAGTTTGTCTGTTGACTGTTCTTGTTTAAAAAAATTGCTGTGAAATACCAAAAACTTGTGAATAATCAAAACGGCATCACCTGGGGAACAGTTAATTATGGCATAGCCTTAGTATGGAGTAGTAGTGGGCTGTTATTAGAATAAATGGATGTAAGGGTGTAACATGGAAGGTGTCCTGAAGAAGGGGAAGAAGAGGAAGAGGAGGAAAAAGAGGAAGACAGGGGAAAGAGGAAGAGGAGGAGAAAGAGGAAGAGGAATAAAAGGAAAAAAGAGGAGGAGGAGGAGCAGGAGGAGAAGCAGCAGCACCAGTAGCTGCAGCAACCAAATTTTAACACTCCAAAAAGAAACGCAGTTAGCAGTCTCTCCCCTACCCCATTTTTATTAGAAATGTTATGAAAAAAGAATAAGTTGAAACATCTAGGCTGTTGTTTCTAGATACTTTCTTATCTAAATTTTTTGGGGAGGGTTAGAATCTAAGAATTTATGGTCTGTTCTCCCTTGACTACGGGTAAATGTAAGCAGTATGCCTAATCTTACATAATAAGATGTTTATGACAAAAATGTCAGATAAAAATCCAGCACCCTGAAATTCTTTGTGTAACAAGCGGCGCCTGTGTCCACTCTGGAGATCTCAGCCCCGCACACTGCGTCCTGCGCGGGGACAGGCAGGCGGGGCAGGCGGAGGCGCTGGGGCTTGGGGAGGCTGAGAGGCTGCGACAAGTGAAATTTAGGTATTTTTCCGCGGACACTCTACCTCTCTAAGATTCATTAGATAAGCCGGCGGGGTACCCCGGGGTTGCTGTCAGTGTAGTCTGGGCAACAGCAGTTTTGGCCTCAACTGGGAATTCATTAGATACCCAGACTCTCCGACGCTAACATCAGAATCTGCACCCTAACAAAGTCTCCCAGTGATACATACATATTAGGGTTTGAGCAGCACTGCGCTCCCGGACCTCGCAGGGTGCTTTAGGAAAGTGAGGGTACAGTCTGGGGTCCGTGTCCCGGAAGGGGGCGGGGCCCGAGAGGGGCGGGGCCCGAGGCCCTTAAAGGGACAGGGTCCCTTCACCTGTCTCCACCTTCACTATACATTTGCCTGGAATCCACAGGGCTATCTGTCCTCCTTTCCTGGCAGAGCCATCACGGAACTCGGCCCACTCCATCCTGCGTCCAGAAGCTCCTAAGGCTGGGAAGACTTCGGAACCGCGGAGACAAACGTTCCACCAACGGCGCTTGTACTGGCCCCACGCCCTGGCTCGAAGCCCCGCCCATTCGTGCTAGCCCCGCCCCTCACCCGTAGTCCCTGGGAAGAAGAGACGTCCGGGCCCCGCCCCTTCCGTACAGGACGGAAGTGACGTCATGCACGGGCCGGCAGGTCTCTCAGCCTTCTTACCTCTCCTAGACTCTTCCTTCCCGGTCCATTCCCTCCCTTCTCCTTTTCCTCCTCCTGTTCCAGCCTTAGCGGCCACGGCGTGGGCAGAGGCAATGGAGTAAGAGGACGGTGGCAGCGAGGCGCGGAGGCTGAGCAGGCGCAGCCAGGAGGCGTTTAGGGGGCGGAGGAGCGAGCCCCAGGGCCGCCCCTCCCGGGAGCCGCGCGGAGAGGTGAGCGCTGGTCCGGCCCGGGCGCCTCCTCTCCGGCCGCGCTCGAGCTGGGCTGTCCGGCGGCGAGCGGAGTGGGCCGGGCCCGG